GCTCTGAGACACTAGCGCGGAGGATGTTAAGTACCTCGTTCGACCAGTAAGATGGACGCCGTCTATTATTTGGCTCCAGTTTCCTCGGCATGGTCCTGTCACATGATCTCACTAACGTTTCTGTCAGCTCGTCCGCGTTCAGACCCTCGGGGACCCTGTCCACACGGAGTGCTTCAATGAAAAGATCCTTGTCGAAAGTCTTCGTCTTCGTGATCCAAAACTAGGCAATACCAGCGCTGGCCACGTCTGAATGCTGGTCAAGAAAGGAATAGGTAGGAATATGTTGACGTAATACTCATTTCAATGAAAGCCGAGAACACCTCTGCACTTCCATGAGAAATCACTTGGATGTTGGATAAAAGGGATAGAATTGCAGCAGGATTCTATTGCCACTAGACCACCAAGCTCCTTATATCACACAAAAATTACGATCAAGTTTCCGTTCAACTTGTTGTTACTAAGAATCGATCCGGCGGCGATTTCATCGACGACAACAACAACTGTTCTTGAGAAAGATTTGATATGAATTTCCAATCAACACGTCTTTTCTAAAACTCAAATATTAGTTCTTCTACATACCCGTCCCTCCAACTGAATTTCATAACGCTTTATATCATATCGCGAAAAAAAATCCGTACTCTATGATGTGAAGGAGCTTGGGATTGAACCCATGATTTTCTACTCAGTAAGCAAAATGGGTTGCCACAAGGCCACCGAGCTCTTTATTTCACAAAACAATGACGACCAAGTTCTTGTTCAACTTGCTTTTACTAGATTTTGATCCTGACGGCGTCCTCACCAACATTGGTAAAAAATACTCTTGAGAAGGATTTGTTATAGATTTCCGATCAACACGTGTTTCCTAAAAGTTGACCGTACTCGTTCCTTCAAACGAATTTCAATACGCTTTATCTCATATTGAGAATAAATCTGATTTACACTAAAATCTCTATATTGTGAATAAGCTTCACAATAACGCATGATTTTCTACTCAGTAAGCAAAATCAGTCGCATATATCAGAAAACAATTACGATTATGTTCCCGTTCAACTTGCTGTTACTACACAGTTCGAAAAAGTAGTGTAAATTTCTGTTGAATATGATGCACATAAATGGAGCGTCACATATCATATAAGCAAACGGCGCCGGTGGTGTAGTGGTAAGCGTGATTACCTCTCACCCCAGCAGGCCTGGGTTTAATCCCAGTCGGCGCCGCCGGGATTTTCTGAGGCATAACATCTCTGATCACGCCTTCCTTCGGATGGGAAGTAAAGCCGTTGGTCCCCGGTTCATGAGTTGATGGGTCGATAGGTAGGGTACAGATGTGGGAGCTGCCTTCCTGGCACGTCGGTAGCATTGGTGCTCAGCACGGAAAACAAGATCGACGGAAAAAAACAAACCAATGAAAAAAAAAAATAAAAAAATATCATATAAGCTTACGTTATAAATTTCTGAGACATTTCATGCAATGTAGCAAATGTTGTATACAAAAGACCATCTTTGTAAACAACATTGTTTACAAGTTGCTCAGTTGCATGAAATGAAATACAAGTTAACGTGAATGAATGTTTACATCACAATTAAAATACAGAATTTTTATCTGTGTAGATTTCTGTCCCGGCGGTGACCTCACCGACGACGAATTCGATTATTTGCAGAGATCGAAATTATCGCTGATGTAAAAAGAGAAACGGTACTTTTCACCCGTACAGAGTATTATTATAGAGGTAACTCTAAGACTAGAAGGTCCCAAAGAAACGAGCTCAACTTTTCGGCTCAGCTCTGGTACTATCTTCGGTCCCAAGCTAATTGGTGCACCCCTCGAAACATAGGAAAATCCACGAACCCTTCATTTTATCTGTCAAACTTTCATAACGAATCAAAACAAACATAGTGTAGTACTGGAATTTACACTAGAATGGGATACGTTAATCGATTTGTTGGGGACCAATAGGCTAGTCAAGTAGTGAGCCAATTTAAAATCGTTAGTTTCGTATTGATTGTTGGTATTATCCAGTGTTCACTCGGCTGTCGAAAAAATCAGGCCACTCTCGATGTGTGCCACGCGATCGTCTGTTTTCTCGGCAGCAACCATTGTGTGGTCCTTCTCATTGTTCTTCATCAGCAGTTCTTTCGGTCGATTCGTCGTCGACTTTGGAAAGCAACCATTTCGTGATGGGTGTGTGAGTGTTGACCACGTTTTGCGTTCATTGCTGCAATGGAAGCGCTCTGATCCCCGTTGGCGTAATTGCCATACAATGAAACCACTGGAAGCGGCTCCAGCTCTGATGGAGGGGGCTTTTTGGATAGCGGAATATAAAGTGTTTATTGTGTTGTACCTTTTGACTATAGTTTTAAGGTGTATTGTATAGTGACCAAGAATCCTCGGCTCTGTAAACTTAATTCGTTTGAGCCTTATCAAATAAATTAATAAACAACAGCCCGTACAGAGTATGAAACGATAGAGCATAGAGCGAGAGAACTTTGGTCAAGCAAAGCAATTCTCTTGAGAAAAGCAACCACGAGAATTTCTTCTCATTCGGCAGTGACAGCCGACAATTTCGATACGTTTTCGGCAATTTTTCTTCCGGCGGAAACGATTTTTCACTCTCCCCGAGAACCCGATTTTTAGCTGTCTTCAGACAGAATCCATCTCGTGCCGTACGGGACTGGATTTGCGGCGGTATGGGAAAAATAACTAGCACTAGTACTGCCGCAAATCACGAGCCAGTATTGCCGAAAATACCACCCGTACCGGCACGAGCTCAGTTTTTTTCTGAATTCATACTTTTTATGTGTTTTGTTTAGCATATCTAACCCTAGTTGACCCTAACAATCCAAAGCATTTAATAAATCGCCTCTGTGACGACTCTGTAAGTCATGTGGAAAAGTTCTATATTAAGCAGTCAGTCTGTGCTTGATTTTTCCATATCCCGCTCCACTGATAAATCTCATAAGCAACATCCAATCTGCGTGTGCAAGACCGGTAATGGGCTGTTTACCGTGTTGTTGTTGTACAGTTTGTTGTGTTGGTTGAGCTAGTGAACAAGCATAAGTGTAAACTTTACACTTATGCTTGTTCACTAGCACAACCAGTATGAAGCAGTGTTGACACAATGCGAGCAAGCTGATCATGCTGTAAGCCCATAATTCCAGTCAGCATGCAAATTCAGGAGCGCCTGAGACTGGCGTGCTAATCACAAACAGTTGCTGACAACTGTTTACATAATGCTTATGTCCATTTTTGCTTGCAACTGGCTCATCTGCGCTGATGAACTAGCACTAATGTAAACCGGGCATATGAAGTTTTTACACTTGTGCTGGTGTGCTGATGTTACTGTATTAAAACTGTACTAAAAAGTAGTCAGCATAATGTAAACAGGGCATCCACATCAACCAGCATGAGATTTCAGGAGCAACTGAAATTCGTGCTAGCTGGTTGAGCTAGCGAATGTAGCGTATATCTAAACACCCAAATAATGGGGTGTTTACACTTGTGCTGATTCACGTGCTGGTGAGCCTGTTGTTCGCAAACCCATGGTTATTGATGTATTACTAACAGTTTTTCGGTGTTGATTAACATTGGCGTCATGTCTGGCATAAACTTGATCGGATTGTACCAGTTTTGCTTAATCAGCTATATGAACCCGTTGATATGTTTACACACTTCAATACACTAGTATTTACAATTGTTTTGTCAATACTGTACCTTAGGAGGACCCTACACGATTCCTTTTATTCACAATAATCGTATTGTCAACACATTCTATATTGCCGTCAATATTTCTCGATTACTTTTTCGAAGGGACTTATCAGCTTTTGTAAACAATTCATTTGATCGTTAATTTGGCGTAATTGGTAGCTCGCAAACGCATACTAACACCACTATCAGGTAGGGGAAAACTTGTCAATTATTTCCCTTCGTATCAATATTTTGTTGCATGTAGGGTGCACTATAAAGCAAACGCAAATAAGGGAAAACAAAATATTAGGTACTTGTGAAAGAAAACAAAGACTCCTTTTTTTTTGTCTTAATTTGCTCAACCCAATAATCTCAATCATCTGACTTATCAGTCGATATTTCGCGCAGTTAGTGCGGCGGCGATGTACCGCGAACAAACGTCGATTACGCAATTGACGAGAAATTAAGTGTTGATGATAAATAAGCTGAGTCAATGCGTTACGAAGCGATATTGTTCATGGAAGAGATCATAGCATAATTTCGACGCTCTTTTAATGACTGAATGTTGATTAACAAGCAACGAGCTTCATAAGATTTCAGAGGAAATGCTGTCCATTCAAATTTACGAAGTGCATATAATAAAAATAATAGAGGTTTGCTGTCTTTTGCAAAGTTGTTTGTATTGGTATTTACTGTAACTTTGCGCAAAACATCCACTCTATCAAACCAAAATCTTATTTTTTTAGTCTCACTTTAAAGGGAATTATCAACCAACGGGTACCATCTGACTTTGCTTGCCTAGAACTTCCCCGGAAATACCTAAAATTGAAATCTTGTAGAATAATTCACGTTTTTCACCATTTGGACCACTACTGTGCCATGGAGATAAAATGACCAAGCATAGTTAGACGACCGTAACTGCCTGGATATCAATAATGTGAAAAAGAATGCCCAAAATTACACATCATGTACGCATGTGAATCTTTGATATTGACGAAGGTGACTGTAATTCGAACCTAGCGCAGTGTTTGTTACCTTCATCTTTCGATAAGCTCTACAATAGTTTAAAAACCAATCAAAAATAATTGCTGCATTTGATACACTAAATTCAATGCCATTAAATTCGTAACCCAATTTCACACTGAGCACATGTTACACCTTTAACCGTGACAGCAAACCATTCAAATATTCCCAAACCACCACTCAACTTCACCGATCTCGAACAGGAAACTTCAACTTAATTTCCCGTGTTTTCCTCGCCCATTGAAACGTTGTTTTTATGCTTTCCTCTTTCTCTCTCTCATGGTTTTCATTTCAGAAAGTTTTCCGAAGCACCGAAAAAAAACTCAACTTCCTATCCAAGTGGTTCCAGAAACATCATCAGGCACAAAACCGACTCTCTCACACATACACACCGGGTGTAACAAGTTCTAAGAGTGACGTGCTTGCGCTCCTGCCACGGGTCGGTCTGTGAAGTGTACGTGCCGTGCTTGGAAAATAGAATCCGAACAGAGCCAAAATTACTAGTGCTACACAAGCCATAAAGAAGCAACAGACTGCACCCGGAGCACAGCACATCGCAGCAGTGCAGTCGTAAAATAACCCACCTTTCGTCGGGAATCCAGCAAATAACCAAAAAAAAAAGGAAGTGTAACGAAAGCAAGAGTTCAGAATCGTTATTCAATTTAGCTCGCGTGTGTAAGAGCTGGCAAAATTTCAATCTTGTATTCCGGCTAGATTTTCCACACGGGAATGAAAAGCTGGTAGTCAGTGCATGAGACGTGATAATCGTACTAAAAAAATTAGAAAAAGAAAACTCGACAACCGGGTTGTGCGCGCCAGATGTGGTCAAATCGAGGGGAGTGAGCGAGAGGTAGTGATTTGTGAAAATTGTGTGTGGTGATTGCAAAAAAAAAAATTGTTACGAAGCCAGTCAGTTAAGTGCACACGTGTTCCGGGTTGTCCAATGAATCGGATGGACACGTATGGAGCTGCAATTGGAATAAACAACTAATTCTACATCGGTCGGACGATCAACGATACAGACACACGAACGTCTGAGTTTGCAGCAATCGTTGAAGACGTGGAAAATTATAAATAATTCAAAATGACTGGCAATGGATTGGTAGTGATTGCTGGTTCAACAGGTTGGAGACATTTTCCTTTGGATTAAATGGGGCGGTGAGTATTGCGGCAACATTTATTTTTTTAAATTAAGATTCCTTGTCTTACGGACATCTAATGCACGTGTCAATCGTAATGACTTCCATTCGGAACAAACTACCTACCTTAGCAGTTGTTCAATTTGTGATTCTAATTTCAATCACGGGTCAAGGCAAATGTATATATGTGTAGACTAGACTAGACTCTTACCACGAATGAAGACAGCACATTGGGTGGTCCAATGGCTATATGCAATCATCTTACTGCAAATGATTTCCTCCCACACTTGAACGTGGTCGTTAGCGAACGAAACGGGCTTCTAATTGCCACTTGAGTTTGATCTTATACCCTGATAGGAAAGACTGGCGAAACATGTATGTTTGTCGGCCATCTTCGTCAATGGCTATACCAACACAATCAATTCGAGATATTGTTTACTCACATCGATCGCCTGATGAAGGCACTTGCTCTAATCGAGGCTCTCGAGTTACTGCGTCGCCGTCGATTTTTACAGTAATTATAATCTATACGGCAGCAAAGTTTTATGATGTTCTACACTCAACTTTATTAAATTGATAAAAAAAAAACCAATATGGAGTAATCTCCGGGGGAATTTTTCTCCAATTCATTCCTCTCTATATTAAAAAAATAATTGAACGCTTTGTTGAATGCTTGGTGCACTCATCCCTATCCCAGGATTAGATGGAAGAAGTAAATAATAAATGCTGCAAATTCGCCCGCCAATAGGGTTACCAGAACTCACATTGGCCCTCACTCTTAAAATCAATGGAAAAAGGGCAACGAGAAAAAATAGTTTGTAAATATTTCAATTGAATTTTCCATAAAAGAAAAAATTCAAATAACAGGTCATGCAGGAATCAACTCCAAGATAGATGTTACTGTTGAGAACTTTTGAATTGGGTTTTATCTGTCAATGAACAGATCATTATTCAAAGAAGGAGTCTGCTTGGAGCTTGGAGAGAAATGATTTGAGATCATCTCAATGGAGTTTTTCAAACTATTTTTGTCAAAGAACAGCTAATGCTGTAAAAAAGGAGTCAACTCCAAGAGAAAAATTATTTGCGAGTTATTTTATTATTATTTTTATAAAAAAAAATCTATCATAGAACAGCTCAAACTATAAAGAGAGAGTCGACCCAAAGAAAAAGAAATTTTACGATTATTTTAATTGAATTGTATAAACTTTTTTTTTTTGAAAAACTGCTTATCATATAGAGAAGAAGTCAACTCCAAGAGAGAAAAAAATGATCATTTTAATTGATTTTTTTAAATTGTCAAGAACCAGCTCATGCTGTGAAGAACGAGTCAATTCCAAAAATGATATTACTGAAATTTTCAAAAGCTCTTATCCGTCAAAGAACAGCTCAAGATACAAAGAAGGAGTCAACTCCAAGAGCAACATAATTTATGAGTATTTTATGATAGAATTTTTAAAAGCATTTTTTCGCTATAAAGCAAGAAATGATTTCTAGAGTAACATTTGAAATGGGCCTATGTCCAAAACGTAAACAAATCGGGTTTTGATACCATTCTACAGTACCGCTTGATAGCTACTAATCGTGTAGGAAAGTTCCGCATAATCGATAAAAATCATAAAAAAATAATTCGATTTTCGAAACGGCCGATCAAAGAAATTTTTCGATTCATTAATCGTCCCGCACGCTAAAACGGCCAATCATTCTTTTTTTTTTTCATTTCATTGATAAGCCTAGTGACGTAGAAGGGCCGATGATTGGAAAATTGTTCCAGCTCCATATGATTCGCCATTCATAAAGATAATGGGTTAAAATGGAGTAAAGCATACATAAAGGTAGATTAGTATTAGTTGTACTTGATCCAAACAATAGAAAGAAGCATAGATAAATTAGTTGGAAAATAAAACTAATAGGGGAAATGTAGGTAATGTCGGCCTACATGTCCCTAATTTGGGCCCATCGCTAAAAGTCAGCTATTTCTCAATTTTATCTAGATGAACGCGTAATTAGGACGGTACTAATGGATATTTTTGGTCGCTATTGAAAATTTAGTCGATTGCTGAATTTATGTATGGGCCCAAATTAGGGACATGTAGGTCGACATTACCTACATTTCCCCTATATAACTAAAAGTGCAATGGATGAGTGTTAGTTCCGGGATCAGTTTAGTGTTAAGAGTTATGTTAGTTTTGATCCGTATTCAGCCCTGCCGGTCCATCCAGCACTATTTGCGGCAATTGTGATTATGCGAAACTGCTACTACTACTATGTTAGATGAATGACTTGTCAATTTTCGTTAGAGAAGAATGCTGTTTTCTAACGCAACGCAATGTTTCAATGAAGGAGTCTTTCAATAAATCACTCAATCAATTTGTGTTGGGGCAGGTTCGTGATTTCCGTTAAAAATTTAACCGTCGGGAAAATCAAATGTGCACTGTAACTATGCTGAGTGGGGGTGTGAGCATCGGCTAACACTCCAGTTGATTATTGCACCGAACTTTTAGGTTTGCGACTAACCGCCACTAGGAGTCACTTCTTCTTTTGAAAGGAAACACTTTGCAACTTGGATTTGGATTTATTAAGTTTTAACTTGGGATACACTTTAGGTCTGGTTTTTTGGATAGCTCAATTTGGAATGATTTATTACTAATAATTCAATTAACTCTTAACCTAATTTGCTACTACTACTAACGTAATTAATTTTTATTCTACTTATTTCCAGTACTACTACATTTGTATAGCACTCATTTGTAGTACCAGAATAGTGGGTTCGGGGCGAATTTATAAAATAGATTTGGAAACTGGTTGAGAACAAACAATTTGATTTTCGAAAAATTTCTCAAAAGGGTTTAGTTGACACATTATACCTTACCGAAAACTAAAGCACATCTATCCTAATTCTTATTTCAAACCTATCAACATATTTAAAACATCTTTCCTAAAACTTCACTTATTCGTAAGCGCCTGATTGAAGATATGACTGCTATTGACATTGCCTGTAATTAACAAATATACTAGAAAGATTTATTATACAACTCTAAAGGCTAGTTACCTCCCTGAGCGGACCCCCCGCGTCCTATCTCTTATGTTAATTAACTTTCTGAATTCGCTAATTGAAGCTCATTTCATGATTATTTAGTCTTATTTAATAAATAACTGAAATCTCTAATCTACCTGCACAATCATAACCCATGCTTTTAAACTAAAATTTAACGTGTTTCAAGTTCTTCTGGCTTTGACATATATTAATTATATCTTTGTTCGTCCCAGGTGACACCTTCAAGTGACTAAAATGCTTCACTTTGAAGTTAGTTTCCAAGCTAATTTTAAATTGTATATTGTATAGGATAAATGTTCCAATTACGCTCTCACGTTTCCACTATGTCGCACCACAAAAATACATATGGGTATGTCACAATAGAAGCACACCACAGTGAAAATCCCGAGTCATAGTTCAAACACTTATCCCAAATCAAAATGAAGCACAGATAAGATTAGTTACAATACCATGTACAAAAATGGTGTTTAACATTGTTCCCTGAGTAATACCTAAATGAAAACAACAATGAAAGCTTGTCACACAAGTAGAAGAAGCACTGTTGGGCACTTTCTGAAATATTTCAAAAGTATAATTCCCTTGCAAACCCAAATAAATCTATCTGCGTTGAAAAAATAAAGTGATTTGTGGCAAAACCCGCCAGTATCGCACCCAACGTCAGTGCCTATACGTAAGCGTACTACGAACCGGTTTTCAATCAAAGGAGTGACAAGTGTGAGACTATCACTGCTAGACTAAATCTTTGGTTCTCTCATGCAGTGGTTTATCAGAGAGGGGACGCTTAGTAATCCCCATTGCCTGCCCATGGCGCCATTCTATTGCGGCATGAGCCAGCAACGCCGGCCATAAACCTACCGTCTCCAAAACTCCACTAAAAAGCATGAAATTAAGCCCGCCCACCAGCAACACGGTGCGAAAACTAGCCAAAGGGAGGGTACAATAAGGCTTATAAATTTATGAAATTAAATTGATATCGATTATCATATATTTTTGAATACTTTTCGCATATTTTTGATGTTGTATACTGAGATACAGTTACTATTGTTATTGTGTTAAAATACTTCAATTTCCTTATATATGAATTGAATAGAGGCAGAAAAATTCAAAATTCATTTTCTGGTTTGTTTATGTCTGGTTACGCGAGGTAATTTGCATTGCATTTTTCTAAAGAGAAAAAATATTTGTGAGTACAGTACACGTTCGACTTTGGCATCTTAGCCACAAAGCCGTTCGATTTTGGGACGGATTTTGATGAAACGGATTTTCAAGATTATGTATTTTTGCTCCATGCGATCAAAATTTTTAATAAAATTTAAATTATAAAAGTCTTAGTGATGAAGATGATTCCTCTCGACTTCTCGGTGGTCCAAAATTATCGGAATCATAAAAAAAGTCTAAAAATCCAATACAACAAAATTATGGCTAACGTCTGTTATGGCTACCGTACATTATAATTATCATCTTTATGACCTACGAGAAATCGACGACTAAAACCATTGTTTACAAATGCAATTACGCCCCTTTGAAATGTTGGCACAGAATTCACTCCCCGATTGGTAACCCTATCGATCAGTAGTGGTCGCGTTTGTGGTCTCTCGATAGTCGAGCTGTGCCGAGATGAGCTACAACGCAAAATTTCGAATCACTCGAATGCAACCAACAACGGAAACGAACACCGCACACAATTTCAGAATTCCGCGCGCGCATGGCCCTTTCCCCGTTGACTGTAGGATACGTACGCTCGGCTGAATAGGTCATCGACGTAGCACCAGGATCCTTTGTGCTATCGCTCGAACCTATAGGACACTGCTGCTGCTCATAGCCGGCAGCCACGTTCGTTAGTGTGTGCGCTCATGTATTTATGTGAGTTTGTCTGTTGGCAAACAGAGGCGTCCTTCTGCAAGAGGGGAACCCCGTCGTGTTGTGTCCATCCAATCCAGCTATACAGTGGGCTCTAACTCTAG